ATACTAACTCTGGGAGGAATAAATGGGAGTTGGGGAGAGAAAAGAATTTCTGCAGGAAAATCAATTTTCCTTTGAATCTTGCATAAGGTTTTAAACATTTATTTTACACACAGTGGAATTAGGCGGCAGTAAAACACATCTGAACTGTTTTCAAAAAAACCTCCATCAACCTAGAAGAAAATTACACACGTACACACAAGCTAGCAAGCAAGCACGCACACACACACACACCACCACCACCACCACCACCACCACTACCACCATCACCAAAAAGCAACAATAAAATGGGAGGGAGAAAGCCCTGGTACTTAAAGTAGTCCCTTCCTGGAATGAATGAGATTGTGTGTAAGACAAAAAACAAAGCTGGGTTATTTTCCTTGAATTGCTACGGGAGCAGTTTTTAGTGCTTAAAAAAATATGGAAGAGGACGAGGAGGGTAACTTCTCTTGGTTATGAAGGGTAGAAACGTTGGCCACTAGCTATGTGCCAGGGAACAATAATAGTGACTTTCGGTTCACCCATCTCTTTTAAGCTTTTCCCTGGAAATCACTGTGTAAGTGTGTGCATGCGTACGTGTGTGTGTCCGTGTGTGTGTGTGTGTGTGTGTGTGTGTGTGTGTGTGTGTAATCTTGGGTCTGGGGGATTAGGGGAGTTAGGGGGAGGGTGGAGGCAGTGCAAAGTCAATTGGCAAAAGGAACAGCAGCGAAGATTTTCCATTCCCTCCAAAGCAACCCAGAGCTTTGGGAGGAAGCTTCCCGCTTTGTGAGTCCTATATACCTGTGTCCATTGCTGCAGGTTCTTGTGCTGGAGAGCAATTGGACTATTGTTGATATGCTAATGAGGCGATTAGGCTGTTGGTAAAGAGCTGGAAAAGGGAAAAGTTTCTACCATTAGAGGGAGATCTCCGAGCGCACACAGGAGCTCTCTCCCCACACGCCTCCTCCTCCCTTCCACCACCAGCCTGAACTCTGTGCTTTCCCAGAGAGTGGCTCCACTTTGGTGCAAGGCAGAGAGAAACAAATTTGCTCACGCCAATCCATGAAAATGCTTTGGAAACTTACGGATAATATCAAATACGAAGACTGTGAGGTAAGCTCTTTGCTGGTCTGGGCAAGTCCAGGGGCACCATGGGCTGTCACTGGGACCTTGTCTCATGCATCGATCTGTGAATTTCGTGTAGGACAAATTTCTACCTCTCCGCCAACCCAAGCAACCCGAGGGAGTGACATTGGGTTAGGGAGCGCCCATCCGGAACTTGGGAAAGTGGGATAGTTTTTCCCCTTATTTCTTTTCCCTTCTTTATCTCTTTAGTCTCTTTTTAATTTAAAATTTTGGAGATATAGTAAGAAAGTGAGCAAAGAGATCTGCGGGGATTTTTGAAGCATGTGCTATCAGTGGTGTGCCTTATCCGAACTCATGGAGGTCCTGAAAGTCAGTAGAAAAAGAAAGGGAAGATAAGGTTCTCTCTGTGCCAGCGCTTTCTTCAGCCTTAGCCCAAATATTTACTGATGTGCAGGGTAGTTTAAAAGAGTCTTCTGGTGAAGAAACTGATTAGGGGAGTATGGAGGTGTGGGGGGCGGAATGGAATACAAAACATTAGTCGAGTAATTAGCTGGCATCTAATGAGCAGCTGAAATCAGGTATAATATGCGATGTTTTCATCCCGGCGCCTTATTCCTGCAGTAGCTGGGTTTTGCTTCAGGGTCAGTAGATCAAGAATTTAGGAAAATCCACTCAGCCTCAGAGAGAAAAGAACTTAAGTTTCGGCAACTGTGAGACAGGGGAAGCTTGGGGGTGCGTCCACCTGGTGTTTCTAGCTCGCCTCGATCTCCACCTTCTGCCCCTCGTCCTGAGATGGAGCGGGGCGATGAGACACTATGATAGATCGTGGGACCAGCCTTGCGACAGGGATAACGTGGAGACAATGAAAACACCGGGCGTCTCTGGAGCCGGGTGCCCCACTGCCACCGCCAGGGAGTGAGCAGTGCATTAGGGTCTCCCTTCCCCCCAACCCCCTTCTCTTGGGCACAATCTCAGCTTTTATTGTGGTATACCTTGTGGGTCCGGGCGTCTTTAAGTCATTCATTTGAGATTCTTATTTGAGGTTTCTATCGCCATTCACTTTCGGTGCCTTCCATTACCCCAAAGAAAGAGAACGGATGAATCACCCAGAACGGCGGATTACCTAAATAAATAAGTTGGAGTCCTAGCTTTTATATGTTTTTGTCATTTGATTCTGAAAGTGTCAGGAAAGGAGTGTTTGCGTGCGGAGCAACAATATCTTGTCTTCACTTGAAATCAGAAACCAGGTTTATCCGAACGACAGTCGCCCTCCCTCCCCCTCGCCTTTTTCTTTTCTGAAGACTATTTTAGTTCTTGTTTCTAGAAATCTTTTCTAGATTTCTCAAACATACCCAACCCCCCCCCCCCCCCCAGCTGATGGGTGCTTTTGGGATCCAGATGAGGACATATGTGTACGTGTGAGCACCAAAAAGGGGAGGAGAAGAGGGTCAAGTTGGCTTTGTTACAGTGGCCAGAATGAATGGACTATTTGCTCTCTTTAGTGTGAAACAGACCAGGAAAATGGAAAATAATAATTGACTACAATTCCAAATCCCTAGGACGGGGGCATTGGGACTCCTCCTAACAGGGGATGAACTCCAATGGAAGTCTCAGTACCTCTAAGCTTCATGGGGGAATCGGACACCAAGCCGCTTCCATGAGGCGTTTGGGAATTGAGTGGGGATATGAAAGAATGTTGGGGCATTGTGAATGAGAATGTTGGAACATTCATTGGGAATGTGATTATGCTCTGTGTGTGTGTGTGTGTGTGTGTGTG